TAACGGAAATGAGGTTATATAGAGCATACAGGCCGTAAAGATTATATAAGCATGAGGGGTTATTGGATGGCGTGTATACTATCACTATACTACCGTAAGGATTCTGGGAACTATAAGTACTATACAGCCTACATATACTATATTAGCTTAATGGCAACTCAGCCTATAATCTTTATGGGCAATTCGAGCCACATAGGCTGCACATACTGTATGGCCTACACGTACTGTATGGCTAGCATGGGCAGCACGGGGTGTACGGCCTGTGGGGGGGCATATGTTTGCCTTTATTGAGGTCGATTGTTCATTTATCGTCAATGTCAGTCATCAGTTGGGCTGGCTTGGCGCGTGTTTTGTTGTCTTTACACATTCCCTTGCGTGTGTTTCGGTTTCAGCTTCATTCTTTTTGTATTATTTTGTTTACATGGAGTCGGCGGGTCGGGGAGGGACGTTTATATTACAAATGAAGAAGAGCCAAGTGCAGCCAGCAGTAAGCCGAACGAGATCTGGGCGACTCCAATGAGAGACGAACAGAACGAACAAATTGTAATTTAGGTGTTGCTCAATACAAACAGCTGGAGTTTTGCCATTTGCAGGCAACGATAAACACGCAATTAGCGTTAGATATATGTTTGGACCAACACCCAGACAAATCAATGTGTCTATGTATATATTGTATGGCAGAGGCTGCAGTCGAATCGATAAAGCTTGTCTAGACTGCCCATAGTTCCTGTTGTCTATCTTTAGTTGCCTTTTTTGGCAGGACTTTTGCTGCAGTTTGATTGCCAGCGTCTGGCTAAGATATGGATCTAAGCATAATCCCTATAGATGTGCATGCGTTTGTGTATCTGTGTGTGTGTGCGTATCTTATCTGCAAGTTGTCGCATAAATCTTTTTGGACCGCAGCCCATTGACTTTATGGCGCCGCGTCTCAATCTATAAATCATTCCCAATGGTCGTCTGCCTAAGCAGATAAAAGACTCTGGCTGAGAGCCCCGAAAAAACGAGCTGAACTGTAAAACAAAACTGAAGTTTACATAAACCAAATATCATTAGACGTAATTATTGCCTAATGAAATGTTAAATGTTTGAAAATATTTGATTTCATCATACATAGTCGATAATCATGTTTGGGACTGAGAACAAACGCCTTATAGGAGACATTGCATTGAATCCAGTTGAGCTATAGCTCAATTTTACTTTGTCGCGCGACTTCTTATTGCTTCTGATTGCTCCCTCAGTCTCGGTTATTGGAATTGTATTTGTTTTGTGGACACAAAGGAACGATTTACTGGACTTATTCGTTGGCCTTCGAAAAAAAAAGATATCTTTATCTATACAAAGAATCGATCGCTGCTTGCAACACATGTTTGTTTATATAATATATGTCTATACATATGTATATGAATGCAAGATAAAGAACACTTCAAACTTGCTTACAGTGCATGTGTGAGAGGGAGAGGGAGAGTGCGAGATATTCTGAGGAGGCAAAGAAACAGTAAGAGAGAGAGAGAGAGCAACGTAGAGAGACAGAGAGAAAGAGTGCAAGTGAACATCCTTCTGTACAGCTAACACATCATTTGAAATCCTTGATATTTTAATTTATGAGAATTGCAGAGAAGGGCTCATATTATGGACTAGGAGATGGGATTGCTTGTACGATTGACTTAAACACAGAACACATATTAAACATATTTACAGGATGTATGCCAGCTCTATGGTAGAGAGAAGAATAATGCAATGTAAAGCGCAAGAGAGAGAGAGACAGAGAGAGCGAGAGAGAGAGAGAGAGAAAGAAAATCCGAGCAAAAACAAGCTCAAAACCCTGCTTGAGCTATGAGAATTGCAGAGAAATGTGTAAATTTTATTCTACCATTGCTTCTTTCATATTATTAGCCAGAACAAGGTTTTTATATAGTCTTGTATGCATGTGTAGAGTACCACATAAAGAACATCTACAACCCTTTTGCGGGGTATCAATGCCAATTAGTCAAAGCTCGACAACAATAAAATATTTAATGTGGGCAAACAAGAAATAATAATTATTTATATACACTTATTTACGATTGCACTCAACATTCTTGTGTGTTTCTAAATATATCCATGTTTAATAAGCCTCCTTCAACATCCCCGAAAAAAGACTCATAATATACCACATTTACAGATGTGCTCATGGAAATAGTAGCGCTGCACTACACAACAAAAATCAAGAAAAAGAAACATTCATTAATCAGAAATATGTTAATGTTAATATTCGTTTCGAATTGCTTTCAAAATATGGTTTTTATCACTATATTAGGTTGTTTAACGACTTGATGCTCATTCGCACTACTCTTTTAATTAGAACAGCTGTATGTAGAGCGTACCGCCAGAGCTCCCATTCAATGAAATGAAAAATAGCAAAAGCCACAAATTTCAAGAAAAATTTTCCAATTGCAATTCCAATCCGGAAAATACTTTTTCCTATGCCTATGGTTATTTATATATATGTACAATAATATATATATATATATATATTGCTAGTAGTTTCTCGGGGGATGTTAGTTAATAGACGTCGAGCAGGGGTGGATGGCACACATGTATAGGGTATAAGGTAAGGGTGGTGAATGCTGAATGTTGACCCCACAGCAAATGCTCGAACAAATTTCTCCATTTCAGCGAAATATGCGACAAAGGGTGGCATTCCCTTCAATGTGATTCCACTAAGTTTTCTTTTGACTTCTTTCCTGGATATATACATATATATATATTTACGCATGAAGTCTCTTAGAGTTGGGCTGAAGGTTAGAAATATATACTCGTATGTCTGGGGCGAACACCTGTCCCTGTTTGTTTTTATTGCTTTTGGGGTTTGTGTACATTAAATAGAGAACATTTACAGCTTGAAGAAAAATTCAGTGAGTTCTTTTCTTAAAGTCGGTCTATCCATCTATTTGTATATCCAGCTCAAAATTACAGCATATCCTAAGCATATTGAGTTTATTTTCTTGATTTAAATCTGAAAATACTGTAAGCAGAAATAAAGAAAATTGAAAACAAATATTGGCCTTTCTCTGTAATTCTCATAACTGTGATTTACATCTGCTATGATTATTTTACATTCCATGAGTCTCTATCGTTTTCTTTGTGTATCTCTTTCTAAAGTTCTTTCTCTCTCTTTCAGTTTTTGACTCTGTTTCTATCATTCGTGCGGTATTCTCTGGTATTCTTCTGCTTACCTTTGTATTACTCTCTCTCTTTTTACATTCCCTCCTTATCAATTTCTCTATCTATCCTTTGCTTGCCTTTTTATACATTATCTCTCTCTCTATCTATATCTTGGCCTGTGTCTGATTCCGGTCTTACGTCTTTCTAACCTAACCACTAGAGAGAGCACCTTCTACACCTATCTAATAGTTCCTCTGTCCGTCTATCTAACTCTATCTCTCTCTCTCTCTCTCTCTCTCTGGCTCTCTTTCTCCCTCTCTCTAGCTATCTCTCATTCAGTCTATGTTTTGATTTTCACTTTATTTACTTATTTCCCTTCTCCCCAAGTCTCCTTTCCCCTCACTCTCTTCCCCCCTGTTTACACTCTGACCCTTCCCTGCCTCCCTGATTTCTCTTCAATCTCAATGTCAGCATTGTTCTAATTACAGCCCTTCTATGCAATTTTCATGAACTCAATTAGCTTCGAGATCTTAATGCCGTATAGTCCATATAGTCTGTGTGTATGTGTGTGTGTGTGTGTGTGTGAGTCTGTTTGTATAGCAAACACTTATAGGTAAGCTCATAATTCCAGACAATTTTCGTACGCTATAGAAATGGATTAGCACAAAGGCAGCAAAATGATTCGAGTGAAGCATTCAATTTGCAATCGGCTGGCGATTTTGTGAGACATACACTAAATGCGCAGCTAGTCGTATCAAGGTGCACTAGATATATATTTACAAAGAGAGTGACAGGGAGAGAGAGAGAGGGTGGGAAAGAGAGGTAAAATAGAAGTCGGTCAGATTTGCATGCAAATTGGATGCAAGGCAAATTCTTATTTATTTTTTTTTTAATGCCTCAAGCCGGTTAACAGCTGCATGCAATGCATTGGACAAACCCCTGCACCACCCGCTGCAATCGACCAGCTGCACATGTGTGTGTGTGTGTGTGTGTGTGTGTGCGTGTGTGTTTGTGTCAACCCCAAGGCAAGGCACGGGGCAATCTTCGTGTTAAGCAATTGTCAACTCTGGCGTTAAATATGGGTGAAAAATATTGATTACATTGGCAAACGAAGGCGCAGGCAAAGCCATTTATGCTACACAGATATACATATGTATATACATATATAGTTGTATATATGTATGTGGCTATTACCTACATACATATGTAGATCGAAATTCTGCATATGCTTAACCATATGCGCATTTCATTACCGCACAAAAGGTACGCGCAAAAGATTAGCTATCAAGTGACCCAAATGCAGAGGCACACACAGACACACACACACATACATACACACACGCATATACATAACCAATATGTACATATCTATAGCCATATCTACATGTACTCAATTCAGCTCACTTACGTCTATGAGCCGGAAGAAATAATAATTATTTAGAAATTGCTTTGCTTTGGCTTTGGCTTTTGGCTTTTGTTGTTTTTGTTATTTTCTGCTTTTTTGTTTATGCACATTTTTCACAATTCTTTGGCCATGCCCTAATGAACAATAATAAATGATTTGAACAAATTTGTGGCAAAAAAAAAAAGCAATTCGCAACAGTTGCCAGCGAAAATAGAGAAAAAAAATCAAGAGTTGAGATAGAGAGAGAAATGGCCAACTTTGATATACCCTAACTAAGCTCCTTTAGGCTTTTAGAAACTCCTTAGAAGAAGAAGAAGAAGATCTATTCAATGTTGTACAAAAAACTAGATTGATAAATTCCATTTCCACATCCAAATGAATAACAATATATGTTGAGCTCTGTTTTCATTTGAAATTGTTTTCAAAATATTTCGTTTATCACTAAGTTGTGTAAGCATTGAAATTAGTAGTAATTTATCTAAGCGATGTTAGTATCAGACACAAGCTTGATAATAGAGCAAAAAATGAGGTCTACCTATATATATAAAATTCCAATATCTAGTACGACTGAGCACTAGTATTATTTGATGTATATAAACATACTTGCATATGCATATATGTATGTACACACATGCCTAATATATATATAGTACATATGTTTTCATAGAAACTCTAGTTCCCCAGCTCTTAAACTTGGAACTGCACTGAAACAAAAGTTTTCTAGAGATTTTAATTGACTCGCGGTAAATGTACAAAAAAATTGTTGATGATAATTTGAAGGGTATAGAGGTATATATGTATATATACTATATATGTAGTCATACTTAATCTACATACATTTAAAATTGCATATATGTAGCTCCCATAGCTGTATATATCTTTATGTACATATATAGTCTTGATCAGGCTAAACGACTGTTCGTGTCGTGTCTTGTTAGCCTTGTTCATCTGACGCTTTGTTACGTCTGTTCAAACGCGGTTTCAAAGTAATATATATACATATGTATTTGTATATATATATTTTCCATATTTCCATATAAATATCTACACATTTCTAGTATTATTCACGTTTACTTG